GTTATTATTATTATTATAATTAGGTTTTTGAAATTAAATTTCGTTTACGTAACGTTTTCCCCTCCACTTAAGAGCTCCCCCAAACTTAAACAAGGAAATCAGAAACGATCATTACGTCTTGAGGTCTTAATGAGTACATGAATATGAACCAACCAATAATTGTAAGAATATTTTTGCGACCTAATATTTTGCTTAAGCTCAAAAGTGGAATGTTAAAACGAAATTATAACTTTCAACGGCTTTATTATTATTATTGCTTAAAAGGCCGAGAGGTTCTCATCTTTTTGATTTATATATTCAACGATTCGAAATTTACCAGTTACAAGAATTATATCATACATATCAAATGCAGTAAGATTAAATGCTTGAAGCATATTTTGAGGTAAAATCCTTTCAAACCAATTTTTTGAGGAAACTTAGACTTCGAGAATTAACAATTTCCGAAGCATCAACAATCCCGTTTATTTTATGCTCGGTAGCATAGTATAGATGCGTAATGGTGGCAGGGATTTTTTATGAAATTAGATCGCAATTTTTTTTTATCTCATATCAATATAATAAATATTTCCATTATTTATATTATATTTTATAATTTCATCAGGGATTGACTTTGGAATTTAATTATTAACTATACTTTATTTTAATCAGTTTGGTACTAACAAAAAGAAATTTTCGTTAATGCACATACGGATCAGAATATTATTTATCAGTTCCCTGTAATCTTAACATAATGATTCAAATTACACAATAAGACTGAGAAAAACAAGGACGAGACGTAAAAAATTTTATAAATCAAAATTATTTATTAAAGCGAAATAATAAAGGTAATAAAATGAGTGTTGCTAAGGGAAAACCTTGTTAGTGAATATTTAAATTTTGGCTATGGCGAACTTAATCCCAGAAGAATCTTGAATTTAGTCAAGCAGTTGTCGAGAAAACTTTGCTCAAAGTTTAGAAAAGTCTGTCCCATCTATCAATAAATCAAGTGCTTCGACAGCCACCTGACAAATTCGGTGAGATTATTATTATTATTATTATTTTAATTCTAGACATTCGTAGAAGTTAAAATAAACACATTCTATTATTGAATTTGGTTGGGTAGTTTTTGAGAAAACTTTGCTCAAAATTTTTTTTAAAAAATGCAAAAATTGTTTAAATGTATACTGACCCTTGATTAATTTGGGTAAGTAGATGCACTCAATCATGCATAATTATGTTAGTTTAGCTAAGAATTAAAGGTTTATAATCTTGACTGATCTATTTTTTCCATATTTGTATACATGATGTAATAAGATATTTTAGCTGCTTTTCGATGACAAAATTGCCAACTAAAAGATATTTTGAGAGATAGCATGTTTTGAAAATATGCAATTATTGCACGATGTTTAAATCATACAATAAAAATTTTCCATTTTGTCATTACAAAGCTTTCAATAATAAATAGGTTTAAAATTAAATTTTTATCACAATTTACGATGACAAAAATGAAGATATTTCGGTATACAAAGATTTGATTTTTTGGTCAATTGCAAGTGCCGATCAAAGAATATCTCGTATAGAACCTAAAGGTTTTAAACCAAAACCAATCCTAAACCAACTTAACCATCTCCATGTTCAATTCCTATAGCGCATCCACAAATCAAAGTTTCAAAATCAGTGTAACGTAAACAATAAACCACTTTTATAAAATAACTCAAAATTTTAGATTAAGAACTAGGCGCTTGAGATGTTTAAAGGGAGTTATAAATTGATGTGTGTATCTGTATATTATAGAACATTTTTAGTACAATTTTATTAAAATTTTTTTTTGTAACTTTGTATAAAATTTGGTAAATCAAAATTTCATATAATTATAATTTGGAACACATCATTTGTTTTTAAAATCAAATTTTTAGTGATTTAGGAATTAGAATTTGGATTATATATTCAAATCAAATAATGCAATAATACTAGCAGAGCTTTTGTAAATCAGATATTTTATATATAAAATTTTATTTTTATATACAGCGTTTTTTAAGTGAAATCTGCGTTTATTTGATCTATAACTAGAAATTGCACATGCGGGCAGCTTCGCCGCCCAGTTCAAAGTTGATGATGTAATAGGCAAAACAATAATAACAGTGTTTTTTATTATAATTTAGAAAGAATTGAAAATTTCATTTCTTTTTATTGCATTTTGCAAAATTTTATAGAAAATTTATACTTATAGCGGGTTGCGACATCGCGGTTACGATATTGTATCCAATCAGCGGTGATCAAATGAAATTAAATAACCAGATTTGGTATCGGTGTTTCAAATTCAATGATGTACATACATATGTACACTGTTCACCCGATTTGTGGTATGAAACAATGATCGTACGTATGTACTAAATAAATAGGAATCCTGATCAAGCAATCGATTGAATTTTTTCTCTTGGCGTAGTAAAAATAGAAATTCGCTTATAATCGAAGTGCATAGTATTATTTTTATTTTAAGTGACCACAAAGCGAACGTGCGGAAAGATACTAGATAACCACGTGAATTATTTGCACAGAACGTTATTAACACCTAACCTCTTACGGTTCCAAGATTATACAAACATTATTAAAAGCCTAACACTCTCAAGATTCAAGATCACAAGTTTTCCTGTTTGTGCTTTTAAACTTGGTGCAAACTCATTCTTGGGCTCTTAAACCTCGATATTTACTGGAATTTTTTTTTTCATAAAAGACGTGGTAGTTCAACTATTGATATTTCGTAAAATCGACGATTTGATGAACATATTAGGTAACAATCTTTAACGCCTTTCTTATTACAACCTTTGACACTTTACCTTTCATGGTACAATTATTATTGAAATCTACCGTCTTATGATCTCAAGTTTTCCCAATTTACGCCTTTTTTTTTTTTTTTTTTTTTTGGCATGAAAGGTGAAGGTATTTTCAAAGCGTGAATAGTTCAACCTTTTACATTTCAGCGAACAACTACAGGATCGGTTTGGTTTATATATAGGATAACAACTTTTAACGCCTATTGAATTTTTTTTGTGCGTGAAGGTATTTTCGAAGCGTGGATAATTCAACTTTTTACATTTTAGCGAATAACTACAAGATCGACTTAATTGATATCTAGGGTAATAACTTATAACACCTACTGAATTTTTTTTTTGGCGTGAAGGTACTTTTAAAGCACGAATAGTTCAATTTTGGACCAATATACGCTTTAGTAAATTATGAATTTGGTTAGTTTAATATATAGAGTACAACCTGAAAAGAAAAAGTCAATCGGTCTCTAGAGTTTCTTGGCCTCGTATGATAAGACTATACAACGTGTTAAATATAATACAGTAAGTGTTAAGCAGATGTGCATTTATAGGCAGTTTGAAACTAAATTCGATAATATAACCAATCTTTTTTTTAATTTTAAAGGTTTATTAGTTATGGCAAATAATATCAGCACGGATTTTTCACGTACTGATTTGAATGTTGATATATTTGATACCTTTAATGAAGAACAAAGTGGTAAAATAGTTTTGGATTATGTTTATGAAATTTGTTCTGATACTTTAGCCATTTTGGCTACTACTTTTAATATGTTATATAACGGCTTAATAATGTGTATTTTTAAATATTTTTATTTATAGAGTTCATGACTCGTAATGTATCAACTATTTCTACAGACTGCTTCTTAAATTCTAGTATTCCATCCGAAGAGTCTATGGATTTAAATCAAACGCAGCAAAGTGATTATGAGTCTGACCACGATACTGATGAAAACATTAAACCTACAATCCAAAATGGTGCTACCTTTTGTAATTGGAAGTCTTTGGAGGACACATTAAAAGAATATGAATTAAAAATTGGATTCAAGTCAATAAAGTATCGTGTAGAACGTGATAATAGTGGTGAGATAATTCGCCAGTATTTTCTTTGTGAAAATTCTGGAGATCATCAACCCAAAAAAAAGGCCGACACCACTTGCCAGAGAGAAAAGGAGTCAAAAAAAGTCGGGTGTGAATGGCAGCTTAACGCAGGATATCGAAAGAATCTTGGTGCCATAGTTATTAACAAGTTTGTTGAAAATCATAATCACCCACTTGCGCCACATCGAAAGGAATTTGCCCCAAGACTACGTTCTCTTTCACAAGAGGTCTTTGATGCAATAAAGTTTTTGACACAGGAGTGTAATCTTGGAGCCAAGGCCCAGCGCCGGTATATTTCAAAAAAATTTCCCGATCAACCATTATATGACCGTGACTTGTACAATGCTATACGGCGATATACAAAACAAATGGGAAATCAGCGAGAAAATGATGCAGCCGATATGGTAAAATGGCTTATGGAACAGCAAGAGCGAGAACCCGGGTGGGCAATTTATATAGAGTTTGAGGGCGTAGATAATAATCTTTCACGGCTTTTTTGGATGACGCCCACACAAATAGAATTATGGAAATATTATCATGACGTAGTAGTAAACGATAATACAGCCAAAACGAATGCATATAATATACTTCTAAATCTTTTCGTAATTGTTGATAACCATCATAAAACAAGACTCGTGGCGCAGTCACTTGTTCAGGACGAAACTGTTGGTTCTTATGTATGGATATTAAATTGTATACTAAAAGCAACCAATAATTTAGCTCCCAAGGCAATTTTTACTGATACTGATATTGCTATGATGTCTGCCATTAGTCAAGTATTTCCTAACTCAAAACACAATTATTGTGTATTTCATATACAAACTAATCTTGCAAAGAAATTATCACGAAAGCTGGGCAATTCTTATGGTAATTTTTTGAAAAGCTGGTTTCGATGTCGTAATAGCCGTAGTGAGGCGGAATTAGAGTACAATTGGGCGGAATTATTATCTAAGTATTCAGAAGATCAAAGTTATTTGCAACAACTTTGAAAATCATGAAAATCATAGGCCAAGATTTATGTATTTACTACATTTTGTGCTGGGATGCAAAGCACCCAACGGGTAGAAAGCCTTAACGGAATTATCAAAGGTGAAGTTGGTGCAAAAATGACACTTCTTAATTTAGGCAAATCTATTCAAACTAAGCTCGAACGTGAAGCACAACATCAACGATTATCAGAATATAAAAATGCACTACCTACTCGGGGACTTCCGACCATTTCAAGTGTTTTTTTTAAAACTATTCAGAATGACATCAAAAAATTCTTAACATTAGAATCAGCTTTGGTTCAAAATATTCAAGTATCTCAGAGTATTTTGTATCGGGCACATTCAGTAGAAATTCCAAATAATTTAATGGTATAATTTATATTAAGTACTATTATCATATTGGGTTTATATCATTTCGCTTTACTAAGTACACCATCACGCAGGGTGACAATTAATGTTTAACAATAATTACTGATCATTAAACATTAATCGTCACTTCGTGTGATAGGTGCTTGGTGAAGTGATTGTCGGTGAAATGATACAAACTATGTTGATTGAATATATTTAGAATTTTTTTCTAATACTGATATTTATCTTAGCTATCTAAAGCTTATGAATATTCAGAAGGGTACCTCGAAAACGAATACGATACATTACAAGCTTCGCTCGAAACCATTGTAAATATGGTGAATCGTGAAAACATTCTTGAAATTTGACGGGTGTCCTTGTTTGATCTACACGTTCATAGCTATCCTCACTATGTTATTCTCTTAAGTGATAACACACATCTTTGCATATGTCTTTATATAATTTCAAATGGGTTTTATTGTAGGCACTTCTTTAGTGTTTTTAAAATGTCACGTAATGCTAAGTTCGACATTAAACTCGTATCCAAACGCTGGTATACTAATCCAATGCAAGTATCTGATTCTTTGCCAATTATTGGTACAACCGGAGAACCAAGCACAATTATGGAGATGAATCATGTAACATCAATTCGTGGACCAGATATACTTGAACCTAGTATTTGTACAAACATCACACAAAAACAACAGTATGTTCATGGTTTCAGTATCGCCAAAAGTGGATTGAAATTTGCTGTTTAGTTGACGAATTCGTAGGATTGATAACAAGATTTATTGAGAACCATACTGGTGTCAATGCTAATCAACGAATGTTAGTTGATATAACTCAAATTGACAACCCAAAAAAATTAACCCATAAGGGGCGCCCCAAACGGTCAAGTTCCACACAAGATGATAATATTTTTCAGGATCTAGCTATAGGAAATGAAGAGAATTCAAGATCGGCAAAACGAGTTAACGTTGAAGCAAATAAGGGTGGTATTAAACCCAAACTAGAGAATCGACATTGCAGTAACTGCCATGGGGCCGGTCATTATACTTCTACTTGTAAATTCGCAAAAGATTATTTCAAATAATGCATATATTAGATTTATGGTATGCATATTAAATTCTATAGATTTAATGAGCAGACCTATGATTGTGCTTATTGAATTATCTATCACAATATTTGCTTTTTGTTTGACTTAATTAGCTTGCTTGGGTGTATTGCAATTAAAACAAAAATAAATTTTTTGTGCAATTAAAATTTGGCTTCAAAATTTCACCTTCTGTTAATAATGTTGAACATAAAAATTGGAAATTTTTTTTTTACAGCGAAACCTGGAATACCGTTTTTTTTTCTTTTTTTATTTATTTTATTTTATTTTTTTTTTGTAATGAAAGTTGAAATCACTTCTCTTGAGGATCCATCTGCTTTTGCACAGAGTCATTTACATATATAAGCAAGTCATGATGTACTTGTGCTATTATCTAGAGATATGGTAATTTCATGAATTTTAGAATTTTTTATAAACATTATTTACGCGAAATCGACATTTCAATAATTTTATTTTTTTAGATTTAGAGTATGTGTTAAATTAACGAGGTATGTATGCAATATCTTTATCTTCAAATGTTGTCATATTATTGTTCTTATATTGTACAGTAGTAGTTCTAAGATCCAAATTATAATAAATTCTCAGGGCGTCGCTTCAGCCTAATTCTATTTCGGGGTGAATTTAAGAACGAAGCAAGGAGTAAGTATTTCAATATACATATTTGTTTGTGTAATAGGTTACTAAATTAGTATTGATTTTAATTCATCGATATGTACAATGCCAGGAAACGCACTAAAACAAAACTTGGTGTAATGAAGTAGATGGTGTACGTACGTACGTACGTATTTAAAATTTTGAACCGATCAGCTATATTTGAAATAAAATTAGCATTCTGAGTAACTTGATTATATATTTAAGTGTACTTCGTTAAGAATACGTATAATGTTTTGCTTATAAAATATTATTGTTAAGGTTTATTTCTTGCTTTGAAAGAATATCAGTAATTGAGTTGTAAGCAGGATAATAAACTCTTATATGAATTGATGATTTTTAATAAAAGTTATTCTAGTTAAACCATTATTATTATAGTTTATATTAAACAG